TCTGCGTGGTGGGTGGGGGCTGCCCCAACCTCGCCTCTGCCTCTGCCTCTTCCTGACCCAGTGGATGCCCAACCCAGGATTGGAGAGGGGGTTGACAGGGGGAGGCGGGGCTGTGTCCTCCATGCCTTCTTGGTTCCCCTGTCCTGCAGTTCAGAGCCATGAGGGTTAGGGCAGCCTCTGGGAGCTTCTGGGTTAGGGGGTCTCACTGCAGCCTTTCACAGGGGGCCTGCTGACCGGCAAGTACAAGTTTGAGGACAAGGACCAGAAACAACCAGTGGGCCGCTTCTTTGGGAATACCTGGGCTGAGACCTACAGGAATCGGTGAGCTGCGAGTGTCAGCCTCAGGATGGATGGAGTGAGGTCCCCTTTGAAATGTAGAAGTTGTGGGCTACTTTCCTGGGAGATCTGGGCCTTTCCTGGCTCCCTCACATGTGTCTCTTGAATTCTGCAGAAATCACCAAACTCTGTGGGATTTCTTATTTTCTCGGGACCTCTGTGAGGAAATGAGGGTCCCATGGTCTTGTGATCTTCCAACTCATAATTATTTTTTGAGAAATCGCCTGCCAGGAAGCAATGAAAGAACCCTGGTTGGAGGCTAGGAGGCCTGGGGCAAGTCCTGACCCAGAACTGGCCACCTTTCACCCCAGGTGGACAAGGTCAGGCTGCTGAGTTCCCAGGATGAAGATGTCCTTGACGGCTCTCACAAGGGGCCCAGCCATGTAGAAGGTCACTGGTTAGAGAGCATGCTGGCCCTTCAGTAAGGCAGGGTTTGGGGTAGGGCAGCCATCCTGGTTGGCTGTGACCCCCCCCACCCCCATGACATTCATGGTACTGATCCGTGTCACCCTCCCCACCTGTGCAGCTTCTGGAAGGAGCACCACTTCAAGGCCATCGCCCTGGTGGAGAAGGCCCTGCAGGCCACGTATGGCACCAGTGCCCCCAGCATGACCTCGGCCGCCCTCCGGTGGATGTACCACCACTCACAGCTGCAGGTGACCAGTGCCCCAGTGCTCGGCCTCTGCGCTTTTAGGGGAGCCAGAATTACCTGTGGGTGACTGCTAGGGTGTCCTTTTCCCAACACTTCTGGGCATGCCTCCCATTTTTCTTATGTGTTATTTAAGGGCCAGGCTTTGTGGTAAGAACTGTAATGAAGGTTAAGGCCTTACGGAGTCTGCTTCTCCCAACTTTATCGATGAGGAAACTGGGAATCCCACAGCCATTAGGTGGAAACTTTAGCACAAGTTGAACTGCAAAACCCATGATTGTGCTCTGGGGGAGCTGGGGTTTTCCTCTCTTGATGTCCTGTATCTTCCTGGCTAAAACTTCTCTGCAGCCTCAGCCTTAGACAGTGTGTAGTGTCCTGTGTTTTTCTACACAAAAATGCATCATGACTTTTTTTTTAAAAGAATTATTTTTATTTAATTTCATTTATTCATTCTTTTTTTTTTGAGAGTTTTTATTTTTTTTTTGCTATAGGGCGCGTGTGCTCACCAGAAAGACAGAGAGACAGAGAGACAGAAAGAGAGAAATCACCCCCCAGGGGGGATAGCCATGCCACAATCCCTTCTCCTCCATTCTCCTCTCGAGATCTTGGGCATGCATGTACACATGCCCGGCGTGAGTTTAAGCCACTGGGTCCAAGACTCGAACCGTGGTCAGCTACATGGGAGTTCAGCAACTTAGCCATTACGTTAACTGCTGGTCCCCATTCATATTATTTTTTAATTTGACCAGAGAGAGACACATTGGAAGGGGAGAGTGAGAAAGCAAGCTATCAGGTCAGGGACTTGAACCATGATCAGCCATGTGGGAGTGTCCAGTGCCTTAACCACCATGCCACCTGCTGGTTCCCCATCATGACTTTTCTGATGACCCAATATATACATTTATAGTAGATGCTCAGTGAATGGGAGCTAAGAGCATTACATCATTACTCTCTTAGCTGTGGTGAAGATAGGGAAGATTGACTCTCAGAGTTGTTAAGGAACAAAGCCATTCCCAGAACCGCAGAGTGGCAGAACCAGCCTCTGGCTTAGTGTGGGTAAGTACATGACCATGGAGGGAACACATATATGGTATAGGAGTCATGTAGTCATTAGGGCCAGCAGGTGGTGTAATGGTTAAGGTGTTTGACTCCCACATGACTGACCACTGTTCGAGTCTCATATCTGGTGGCTTGAAAATCACACCAGGTACATGCACATGTGTGCTGTAAATCCTGAGAGGATTATGGAAGAGAAGGGACTGTGGTGTGGCCATCCTCCCTGGGGGATGATTTCTCACTTTTACCTCTCTCTCTCTCTCTCTGGAGAGTGCATGTACCTTATGGCAAAAACTTTAAGGAAAAAAAAAGCCACATAGTCACAACTGTTGAAGGCACCTTACACTTTCTGGGACTGTGTAGGGCATAAATAAGCACAGACCCCAAACATTGGCATGAGTGGGACTGGGTGGGGGTGTGAGATTGGAATCGCCATGCAGAGGGTGTTGATGTCTGGCTGTCTCCCCTTGCAGGGTGCCCGTGGGGACGCGGTCATCCTGGGCATGTCCAGCCTGGAGCAACTGGAGCAGAACCTGGCAGCAACTGAGGAAGGGGCCCTGGAGCCTGCTGTCGTGGAAGCTTTCGAGCAAGCCTGGCACCTGGTTGCCCACGAATGTCCCAACTACTTCCGCTAGGCCCCAAGGTGGCTTGAGCTCCCAACGCCTTTGTCACCTTTATTCTTCCACTCTAGCCAGTCTGCCTTAAGCTGATTTATCTTGGACTTTCCTGATCTTCTTGATCCATGCATTATTTTTCTAGATTTCGACCTTGCTCCCTGTTGCCTTCACAATGTGGGAAGGCTGGGGCTGAGTCCTACGCGGGCACTTTCTGTCTGAATAAAGTAAGCACCTGAGCTGGCTGCAGCCCAGGCCTGGAGTGAACCCTCCAAACTTGTCTGCTCTGGTGCTTGAAGCTTGCTTCCCATCTTGCCGTGGGACTTTCAAGAAAGAAGCAAAACCATGAACTGAAGTCTTCCAAGGGCAAATGTAGTCCCCACAGTCCCCTGTCCCGAATACCAACCTGACCTCTCAACAGTGGGGTCGAAGGGGGCTCTCTTGTCCCAAGAGAGATAGAGGGCCAGAATAGCCAGCAAGATGGTGTTTAAGGAGGCTGGATCCCACATGACTGGATGCATGGTTCAAGTCCTGGACCTGGAGGCTTGAAAAACAGCCTGAGTGTGAGTGTGTGCATTTCCAAAAACCCCAGAGAATAGAGAAGGGGTCGTAGCATGGCCATTCCTAATAGGGGTGATTTTCTCACTTTCCCTCTCTGTCTGTCTGTGTCTGGCTAGCACATGCATCCTCTGGCAAAATTTGGCAGGCAGGGGAGAAAGAAAAGAAAAAAAGGGTCATGTATCCTGAAATAGATTTTCTCTTTTCCAGAATTGCCTCTATAAATACTCAGAAATAGAAGCATCTGGGCAAAAACCTACCTTTAAAGCAATCGAGAATTTGATTTAAAGTGATCAAGAACTCTTTGTAGGATGCTGTGAAACATTTTTAGCTTTCTCTCTCAGTCTTGGCAATGGCTTTACTCTTGTCTTAGCTAAAACTTCCTGTTGGGTCACCCATAAGATTCTCATCTTTGGTTCTGGGCCTCCTGTTGGTGAAGGTGCAGGTAGCTAGGATCCCCGTTTTCTCTCAGTAAATTGCTGCTCTAAACAGGTGGCACCCAAGGTTGGAGAAGAAAATTCCCAGATCAAATGGTTCTGTTCGACCAGCTCAGGTGAAGCAGAATCACTGGTCCTGGCAAATTAAAATAAATAAAGTTAAATAAAATAATTCTAAAATAGTAAATCGGGCCAGCAGATACCATAGTGTTTACATTTCTGGACTCCAACCGTGGTTTGAGTCCCATACCTGGTGACTTTAAAATCATGCCGGTATGTGTGCCCAAAATCCAAGGAGAATAGAGGAGAAGGGATTGTGGTATGGCCATAGCCCTTGAGGGGTGATTTCTCACTTTCCCTCACTGTCTTTTTCTCCCTCTGGTGAATGTACACACCTTATGGCAAAAACCTATAAATAATAATAATTACAATAAATAAAGTTAAATCATTATTTAAATTTTAAAAAGGTTTCCTATAGGGTATAGGCCCTTACCAGAGAGAACCAGAAAGTGAAAGACAGAGTGAGAAATCACCCCCTGGGGGAGATGGTCACACTTTAGTCCTTCTTGATTTTTTTTTTTTAAAGATTTACTTATTTATTTCCATTTGTTATTGTTATTTTTTTTCTTTATTTGATGGGAGAGAGAGAGAGAAAGGGAAAGTGAGAAAGCAAGCCACCAGGTCTGGGACCTGAACCATGGTTGGCCATGTGGGAATCCAGCGCCCTTATTCACCACACCACCTGCTGGCCCCCCTTCTTGATTTTCTTCTTGAGATTTTACACACACACACACACATCAGCATTTTTCAAGCCACTGAGTCCAGGACTCCAAACTATTTAGTTGGCTATGTGGGATTTAGTTAACTTAACCACCATGCTACTGGCTAGCCCATCTGCCACCCCTTTATTTTTTTAAACAGAAATTGGCAAGCTAGCGGATCTAAAAATTCACATGGAGGGGCCAGCAGGTGGCGTGGTAGTTCAGGTGCTGGATTCCTACATGGCTGACCATGGTTTGAGTCCTGGACTGGGTGGCTTAATAATCATGATAAATAAATGAAGGAAAGAAAGAAAGAAAGAGGTAGTTTTAAATAAATTCACATGGAAATTCAGGGACCCAGCATAGCCAAAACAATCTTGAAAAAAGAATAGAAGTGGAGAATTCATACTTGAAAATGTAACTACCAAGCTACAGTAATAAAGAGAGAGTGGTGCTGGCATAAGGATAGATACCAGTCAGTGGAACAGAATTGAGACTTCAAAAATAAACCCTTACATGTATAATATTGTTGATTGGTTTTAGAGATGAGTAAGATGATTGTATTGGGAAAAGAACAGTGTTCAATAAAGGGTGCTGAGACAGTTGGATGAATGAAGTTGGACTGATGGACTGATCCCTTCCTCACACCATACAGAAACCCTCAAAATGGGATCATAGATCTAAAAGTTAAAACTATAAAACTCTTTTTTTTTTTTTTTGGAGAGGTTTTCACTATAGGGGGCGTGCGCTCGCCAGACAGACAGAGAGACAGAGAGACAGAAAGCGAGAAATCACCCCCCAGGGGGGATGGTCACGCCACAATCCCTTCGCCTCCATTCTCCTCTCAGGATCTTGGGCACACACGCACACGTGCCTGGCGTGAGTTTTAAGCCCCCGGGTCCAGGACGCGAACCGCGGTCAACTACGTGGGAGTCCAGCGACATAACCATTATGCTAACTGCTGGTTCCCAAAACTATAAAACTCTTTTTTTTTTGGAGAGGTTTTCACTATAGGGGGCGTGCGCTCGCCAGACAGACAGAGAGACAGAGAGACAGAAAGCGAGAAATCACCCCCCAGGGGGGATGGTCACGCCACAATCCCTTCGCCTCCATTCTCCTCTCAGGATCTTGGGCACACACGCACACGTGCCTGGCGTGAGTTTTAAGCCCCCGGGTCCAGGACGCGAACCGCGGTCAACTACGTGGGAGTCCAGCGACATAACCATTATGCTAACTGCTGGTTCCCAAAACTATAAAACTCTTAAAACAACATGTAAGAGTAAATCTTTATGATCTTAGCCTCTTTCTTAGATATGATGCTGAAAAGGTAAGCAACAGAGAAAGATAAAATGGGCATCATCAACATTTAAAACCTGTGCTTCAAAGAACACTAACAAAATGAAAAGATAATCTGTAGGAAGAGAGAAAGTTTGCAAATCTGTCAAGGAACTTATATCTACAACATATATAGGACTCTTTGTTGTTTAGTTTTAAGAACTATTTCATTTTATTTGTTACTATTTCTTCTCTTTTCTTTTTTTTTAGAGGTCTTTACATTAGGGCATATGGGCTGCTGGAGAGAGAGAGACATACACAGAGTAAGAAGGAAAGTGAGGAATCACCCATCAAGGAGATGGCCATGCTGCCGTCCCTTCTACTCCATTCTCCTCCTGGGATCTTGGGCACACATGCACCTGGCATGATTTTCAAGCTAATGGGTCCAGGACTCAAACTGCAGTTGGACATGTGGGAGGGAGTTCAGTGACATAACCGCTATGCCATATGCCGGTCCCTTTTTTTTTTTTTAAGTTGTCCAGAGAGACAGAAAGAGAACAGAAAACAAGCCGCCAGATCCACGACTTGAACCAGGTTGCCAAGTGGGAGTCCAGCACCTAATCATACCATACCACCTGCCAGCCCCCAGGACACTTAATAATAAAAGAATGCCCAACCAAACAATGGAGCCCAACTGCAGGGGTGCAAGTGTTAATACGTGTGTTAATACCAGGAACCATGTAGGAGGCTTCAGGTACCGTGCCCACAGGAGGTGTGTTTGGGTGTGCCCATGATTGTGGCTGACTAGAGGGATGTGTGGAGGGGTGGGATTATAGCATGGTGAGGCCCTGTCAGTGAATCCTCTTTCCAAACCCCTCAAGGAATAAACTTGTAAAAAATGGGCAAAGGCAGGACCAGCAAATGGCATAATGGCTTCGTCGCTGGACTCCCATGTAATCAACTGTGGTTCAAGTCCAGGACCCAGTGCCTTAAACTCACACTGAATGCATGTGTGTGTGTGTGCCCGAGATCCTGAGAGGAGAATGGAGAAGAGGGGGTTGTGGCGTGGCCATCCCCCCTGGGGAGTGATTTCTCGCTTTCTGTCTCTGTCTCTCTCTTTCTGATGCACATGTGCCCTATAGGAAAAACCTCTCAAAAAAAAAAAGACAGGGAACCAGCAGTTAGCGTAATGGCTATGTCGCTGGACTCCCACATAGTCAACCGCGG